CCCCCTTCCCCCCTCCCCCCACTCACATACGAGCGGGGGATCAGGTTACAAAACAAAGTCTTTTCTGTTGTTGTTGTTGTTTGAAGAACGCCATCCTTGTGTGCTTCCGAAACGAGACGTGAAGACATGCCAATGGTATTCTTGAGGTTCTATGTCCAGAGGGAGAATTTATAGACTTTATCTTTCTGTTTGCGTTCGCGAGGAGAGCAACAGATTATCTCCGGCGGGGTGATGGCAGCCGATGAATGAGAGTTCGGGCGAGGAACAAAGAGCGGGGTGCGGGGTGGCTGCGAGTGCGTCAGTGGCGTTTGAGGTCATCCTTGAGTCGCGCTGAGGCTGACTCACATCCTGGCCAAGGTGCGACGCTCTCGCTCCTCTGACGTAAACAGTCTTGGCTCGGTGGCCGCCGCGGAAGCATTAGGAAGGAGCGCTCCGGCCGTCGGGTTACTTGCGGCGCGGTTGCCGACGGAAGCGCAAGTCCTGCACGAAGGTCGACATGAGAGTGGGAACGAGGGTCGCTGCCTGCCTTCTGGCGTCATGTCTGGTGGCGCTCGGTGGGCCCCTCGTGGGCTGTGAGGCTTCTCCCGCCGGCGTGCCTGAGGCCCCTGCGGGTCCCATGCCGCGGGATGTGTCTACTGGGGAAGGCCGCACGCCCTCCGAAGGAAGCGGGAGAGTGGCGAAAAGAGAGGTGGGAGCGGAGGGGGAGCACGCGAATGAGTGCCACGAAGTGGAAGTGTTGACCAACAAGACGTTTCAGCCGATCAGGAACGTCAGGCAGTTGCACTACACCTTCTTCCTGCGGCCACGGCCGGAGTTTAAAGACATCAAGTTCAACATGATGATCGACAACCTGTGGAACCTGGCGCGGCCGTACGAGAGCTCTGAATCCATCGTGTTCTCGCTGGCCGACGTGGAGGAGGCGGCCGAGCGCCAGAGCTGGGTCGAGATCACGGCCAACTACTTCAAGCACGAGGTGATTAACGGCCGCGACAAGCACGGCCTGAGGGTGACCATCGGGAACGTGACTCGCGAGATGATCTCCAGCCGCTGGTGGCGAACGCACACCTTCGAAGGGTTCCTTGTATCCGCCAGGGGCCCCGCCACGTTACTCTTCGACTGCCCGCCGCAGGAGGTGGCCGCCCCCGTGCCCGTGCGCCACATGAGGACGCCCGTGTTGATGGGCGGCATCCTGGTGCTGGCCTTCCTGCTGGTGGTCGTGCCCTGGGTGTGCTTCGTGTGCAGGAGGCGTGCCAACGCAGACCTCAGCGAAGCCCCGGACGTCCCGCCGCTCCCCAAGTCTCTTGTAAGTTCTCTCCAAATGTTGGTCTCGAGGTTTCCCATTTGCTGCTCTGCCGTCTGTGTTTGCTCTTCTTTGTTTTCTCTTTAATCCACTCTTGCTGCTTAGATTAAAGCAACATCCATGTCCATGTACTGCCATTCAGTGTCTTCAGTGCTGTTGTTCATACATGTTCTGATTCATGTAAAAAAAAAACAAGAACATTGATGCATTTCCAATATCATTGCTAACAAAGACAGTACTTTACGGCTACTTCTTCGACTGCACCGACGAGTACTGCTGATACTGCTGTTACTCATGCTGCCGTTACCACTGTCACAGTTATTTCTATAACTATTTTCTTCATAAATTGCGATGGCCTCCAATCCTCCCCTTAAGACATGCCAACGCCACTACTCATCACTTAACCCAGAAAATGCATTCTGTGTTATACTTCTGGCTTCAGTCTCTCGGCTGGTTAGTTGTTAACTGCTATAATTAAGAACGTTTCTTTTATATGTAATTATCCTACTTCTACTGCTTCTACGGCGACGCATAGTACTATTGCGTCTTTAAACGTTATAATGATATTTACGATCATTCATGTTATGATTGAAGATGCTTTAAGGTGGTAGGTAACACTTTGTCGTTTTAATTACTGCCATAGATTTTTATTTATTTTCAATTAACAATTATCAGGAGTAGTATTCGGTAGTTTCACTTTATTAATACTTCTGTTTTTATTATTGACACGTTTGATGTTAGAACTAATTCTACTTCTGCTATAGTTGATTGTGATTATCACCATAATTATCACTCTTAATTACTCTTAATTCCTTAACTGTTATCAAAATTATCATGTTTGATATCGTCTTTGTTATCTGCTATTAATACTAGTATGATAAGTTCTTATTATCGCTATTCTTATCATTATTATCATCATAATTAGTATTCCCATCATTACTATATCATTATCAATATCATCGTTATCACTATCATTATTATTATTGTTATCATTATTATTGTTACTACTCGTATCAATAATACCACTATTGCTACTTTTGTTATTATTATTATCATTACTATTATTACTCTTATTATTTCTTTCATTGTCATAATTTTTATTATTGTTATTATCATTATCGTTATCATTATCGTTATCATTATCATTATTAGCATTACTATTCTTACTATTGCTATTATATTTTTTTTACTATCAGTAGTAGTAGTAGTAGTAGTAGTAGTAGTATTGTTGTTGTTGTTGGTGGTGGTGGTGGTGTTACCATCATTATTACTATCATTATTGTTGTTATTGTTATTATTATTACAATTACTGTTATTGTTATTATTACTAATATCATTATCATCATCATCATCACCATCATCCTCATCATCATTATTATTATAGTTTTTGTTGTTACTATTATTATTACAGTTATTATCATTACTATTATTATTATCTTTATAATTATCATGATCATTATCATCATCATTGCTATAATTATTATTATCATTATTATTATTTTCTTTTTTTTTTACGGATATTACCATTATCATATCATTCATTATTATCATTATTGTTATCATTATTAGCATCCTTATCAGTTTCGTTATTATTATCAACATTATTATTATGAATTAGTATCATCATCAGTAGTAGTAGCAGCAGTAGTAACAGTATAATCATCATTATCATTATCATCATTATTATTACTGTTATTATTATTAATGCTGTTTTTGTTATCATTATTTTACCATTATTAGTATTACTACCATCATCATTATTAGTATTACTATCATCATCATTATTAGTATTACTATCATCATCATTATTAGTACTACTATCATTATCATTATACTATTATTATTATTATTATTATTATTATTATTATTACTATTATTATCATTATTACTATTATTATCCTCTATCGTTTCTATTTATGGTTGTTTGGGTTTTGTACCCCTGGGATACTTCATTATTATTATTATTATTATTATTAATACTGTTTTTGTTATTATTATTTTTACCATTATTAGTATTACTATCATCATCATCAATAGTATTACTATCATTATCATTATATTATTATTATTATTGTTATTATTATTATTATTATTATTATTATTATTATTATTATAATAATAATAATTATTATTATAATCATCATTATCATTGTTATTCTCATAATCATATTCATCACCATCATCATCATCACTATAATCATCATCATCATCATTATCACTATAATCAACACCATCATCATCATCATCACCATCACCATCATCATTGCTAATATTGGCAGTGCTATTGTTATTATTATTAGTAGTAGTAGTAGTACCATTATCATTACTGTTATAGTGATTTGTATTATTCTTATTACATTCTTATTAATGATAATGAAATTATAGTTATCATCATTATGGTCACTGTCATTACTATCTTTATTGATATTATTAACACAAGTTTCATTCTCATTAGCATCATTATCTATAGTGTAATCACCACCATCATTAAAAATATCATCCTCACTATTTTAATGATCCTAATCACCGTAATTACCATGACAAATTACCATGCCCATCACCCCCCCTCCCCCCTTAGTCTGCCCCTTACCCCTGACTGACCCCCACCCCGTCTCCCCCAGCAGCTCCTAGAGAAGAACAAGGTAAGCAAGTGCCCGGACCAGGACAACGTGTACGAGGAGTTCGACGAGGACACCCTCTCTCGCCTCCGTCAGAAGCTTTACCCTCAGAACCTCCGGGGGGAGAAGGAAGGCGCGGGAGACTCCGAGACGCCCGTGTACCATCACTACGAGAAGCTGGGCAAGCCTCGTCCCCTCCTGCGGCAGAAGGCGGTGGAGACGACGGAGAAGAGCGCCCCGGCGGAGAACTACTACGAGAACGCCCCCACGATGTCGCTGAGGGAGGAGAAGGAGAAGCTGAGGAAGGAGGACCGCCAGAGGAGCCTGAGCGAGAGCCACTACGTCGAAATGCATGGGATTCTCAACCGGCGTTCGTTCGATTTTTCGAAGTGAGCTGGGTCGAGAGGAAGGTGTGGGTTCGGGTGCCGTTAGAGGACTGGATCTTCTTTCCTTTATACTTTTGATTCGATTCGACGAAGGGAGTTGGGCGTGTGCGAAGAGGGTTGGATCTCCTATCGTTTCTATTTAGGGTTGTTTGGGTTTGAAGGCGTGATTGTATTTACCAAGGTTCGTGTTTGTGTGTAGTAAGAGGGCAGAAATAAGGCCTAGACCTTGGGTAGAACGACGATCATGATTCTCCAAAATAAGCAATGGGAAACTGTGCCTTCGTTGTGTTTCATGTTTGGTCTTGAAGCCACAATTACCTCATCACAAGCACGTATTCATACTCGGTGTTTATGCGAACAGCCGGACCAACAAGAGCATCAGAGACAAAACAATCAGACACGAAGCAGAGAATCCACATCACCTCTACTTATCCAAGTGAACATGGACTGGAGGGGGATAATATCAGATAAAAGACAAGATCCAAACAGGCGTATTCTGACCGAAACCGGATCTGAAGTCAGGTCAGCGTCCTCGGGCAAAGGAACAAACTGACCTGAACCCGACCAAGCCCTCTCGCCTGTCACCTCACACCACTTCCTTCTCAGAAGTCGACGGATGAAGAAGCTTGTTGTGCGATCATACTCCTCCCTCTGTCATGTTTTTATTTTGTTTTCTCTTATCACTCTAAGAAAATTTTGACATTAAACAAGCAAAACTATATTTATGAAACACACGTAACGCTTATGACGACCAAACAAAAGAGCCTAACTCCCAGAATAAACATGTAAACAACAATATTTCAACATAGTGCGTGTTCAAGAGGGTACGCCGGAGTGGGAGGTGACACAATAAATGTAATGAAGTGCTGACCTTTTAACACGCAGCGCCTTCAGATGTAGCTGATGCCAATACGGAGAATTCTGTATGCCAGGCCTTCAGTCTGGGAAATCGTGCAAATCTTCATGGTGTATATTGAAGTCTTTTGCATCATTATTATCATTATTTGGGTGAATTCCGGTTATTCCTTAAGTGTTAAGGTGCTAAATTATATGGTATGAGAATTTGATATAATTTTCTGAATACTGTGGAAGGGTGTATGCGTTTATATATGTATGTGTGTGTGTGCGTTGGTGTATGTGTACGCATGAATTTCGCGCAGTTTTTCTGGGTACTGTTAACATGTGTGTTCATGAGTGCGCATGAAGGAAGAAATTAATTTAAACCGACATAGTTCAGATGTAGCCAAAGATTTGTATAAAAAGGAAATACACGTAAAAAAAAATGATTCAAGATTTTCTGTGATATAGCCTTATCATTTTTTTATAACAGGAATAAATACAAAACGAACTGACAAACGCAAATGATTAAAAGAAAGAATCCCATGGCAGTTCGAAACACAAAGAGCAGAACCTTATATGATCTCAAGACTTAATCTCATGAAAAAGAGGTCTCTCTCTCGCTCTCTTGCTCTCTCTCTCGCTCTCTTGCTCTCCCCCCCCCCCCTCACTCTCTCTCTCTCTCTCTCTCTCTCTCTCTCTCTCTCTCTCTCTCTCTCTCTCTCCATCTCTTACTCTCTCTCTCTCTCTCTCTCTCTCTCTCTCTCTCTCTCTCTCTCTCTCTCTCTCTCTCTCTCTCTCTCTCTGTCTCTGTCTCTGTCTCTGTCTCTCTCTCTCTCTCTCTCTCTCTCTCTCTCTCTCTCTCTCTCTCTCTCTCTCTCTCCCTCTCTCGCTTCCTCTCATATGATAAACCCATTGATATAACCAATTGCTAATCTTCCTCATCATCGCAACGGAATCGAAAATTGGGGTGAGTAATAGAGACAATGGATGAGTAATAGAAATAATGAGTAAACATCACGTGGTTAGTTCTACAAGGCTGTGATGTCACATGGCGAAATTTACCCATAAAGATGATTTTTTTTTGTGAAGTTGTTATTGCGTCTGTTATGGTGCTGGATACTGAACAAGTTCCGTCTTGTTTTGGGAGGGTTTGTGATGTGGTGTTGATGTTATGTTATGTTCTGTGTATTTGGTTTCATGGTGTATTGTACATGGATTTATATTTTTCATATTGCAGTATTGTTGTATAAAATAAAGTTCATTGTTCCTGTTATGAATTAGTTTTTTTTCAATGCCTTTTGCGTGTGGATTGCACATACACACATGCATGCAAAATAAAGTAAATACATATAGACGGAGACATACTAGAGGGAAAAAATCAGACAACCATATATACACAAAACACATCTACACTCAAAATAAACGCACAAAGATTTATTTCCCAATGTATCTCTCTCTCTCTCTCTCTCTCTCTCTCTCTCTCTCTCTCTCTCTCTCTCTCTCTCTCTCTCTCTCTCTCTCTCTCTCTCTCTCTCTCTCGATATACATGCATACATGCATGTCTGTCTCTCTCTGCCTCTCTCTCTCTCTCTCTCTCTCTCTCTCTCTCTCTCTCTCTCTCTCTCTCTCTCTCTCTCTCTCTCTCTCTCTCTCTCTCTCTCTTACACTACATGAAAGCCCTGGAAATGAGTCTTCATCTACAGCACTTTACTCGGAAATTGCGCTACGATGAACACACAGCTACTTCCGGTCGCAATATTTCAGTGGAGGGTGGTACTTTACAGATCAATATATTCGCCACAAACTTTACACGTGAAAGATTTTATTAGTATTGTTAGCATTTCCATCATAGCGACTTTCATTAAAGAATAGGATGCGATATATTTCGAGAGAGAGAGAAAGAGAGAGATAGGAGAGAGAGAGAGAGAGAGAGAGAGAGAGAGAGAGAGAGAGAGAGAGAGAGAAGAGAGAGAGAGAGAGAGAGAGAGAGGAGAGAGAGAGAAGAGAGAGAAGAGAGAAGAGACAGAGAGAGAGAGAGAGAGACAGAGAGAGAGAGAGAGAGAGAGAGAGAGAGAGAGAGAGAGAGAGAGAGAGAGAGAGAGAGAATGAGAGAGAGAGTATGGAAGGATATGGAAAAAATATTTATTTCGTTTTCAAATCTAATCATAATACTCTTAGTTCATGGAAATTCAGGAGGAAAGATACAGGATACATGAATGGAGAAAAAACAATTATGACAACAACAACAACAACAACAACAACAATAAAAACAACAACAATAATAACATTTTTTTCCGATCACATCAAGAGGAAATGCAATCAACGCCTTATCGCATTAATTTTTAGCCTACCATCGCGTGACAAGGAATTCACTAACACAAACGTCCATCAAGGATACTGACTGTTTCCAGTTACCGCCAGTGTTGCCAGTGATATTTCTACAAAACCGCTAGACTGGACTTTAAACACTGGTAGATGTAAGGGTAAGAGCTCTTCAATTTCTTGCTTAAAAGGGCAAAAAAGGTTAACCATAGTGTAAACTTTCTAATTTTTCCCGCTAGATCATGACTCAAAAATTCTAAATCTGGCGGGTAAATAGCTAGAATGGCAACACTAGGTATCACACGAGGTCGCTATACGAGGATTCGAACACGTGCCGGCGCAGAACCGAACATGTAATTTGTGATTTTCATTAACGTGCATATCAGGACAAAAAGTACATGATTAAAAGATATAAGTAGGTGAATGGATAAACAAACCTAAGTTAGATGAACTGTATTCATGTTGATAAATGTAGAAAAGGTATGAATGGGAATGAATATCTTCTATTGTGAAGATATTTTCATTCATTTTCATTCATAGCTTTTCGTCAAAAACCTTAGTTAGTAGATACGGTTTGCAAGTAACAAATTGATAGAATAGTAACAGAGCAAAGATGAAAACTCGATTTAATTTCATTATTTTTTCTCTATTTTCAGAATATAATCTTTGAATATATTACACATGCACACACACACACACACACACACACACACACACATATAAATAAATAAATATATATATATATATATATATATATATATATATATATATATATATATATATACATATATCTACATATATATCTACACACACACACACACACACACACACACACACACACACACACACACACACACACACACACACACACACACACACACACACACACACATATATATATATATATATATATATATATATATATATATATATATATATATATATATATATATATATGTATGAATATACACACACACATACATATATAGATAGATAGATAGATAGATAGATAGATAGATATAGATATGTGTGTGTGTGTGTGTACATATATACATAAGAACATGTGTGTTCATGTAAATCCCCTAATGATATCAGCGAAATGTGGCTCGCGGAGAGTCAGCTCGAGCGCCGGCGACAGTGTGCCTAATGAGAGGCTGAAGGGGAACAGGTGGCCCTCCATCACACCTGGAGCTCACCTGCCGATGGCGCTTGTGGGGGCGGGCAGTGCGGGGAGGGGGGGGGGGTAATTCTGGTGTCTGTTCATTGGTCTCTGTCTGAATGTCTTTTTCTCTCTGGCTCTGTTTGTCTGTCCGTCCGTCCGTCGGTCTGTCTGGCTGTCTGCTTGATTCTCTGTCTCTGTCTCTCTCTCTCTCTCTCTTTCTCTCTCTCTCTATCTACTATCTATCTGTCTGTCTGTCTGTCTGTCTGTCTCTCTTTCTCTCTTTTTCTTTCTCCTTACCTACCCCCCCCCCTCTCTCTCTCTCTCTCTCTCTCTCTCTCTCTCTCTCTCTCTCTCTCTATATATATATATATATATATATATATATATATATATATATATACATATATATATATATATATATATATATATATATGTATATATATATGTATGTGTATATATATACATATATATATATATATATATATATATATATATATATATATATATATATATATATACATATATTTTTTTCGGCTTCTCTCCTTAAGGATAGCCACAGCGGAATGAACCGCATCATAGTCTTTGCTTTTATAGCCGGATACCCTTCCTGCCGCCAACCCTCCCCATTTATCTGGTCTTGGGAACAACTCTCAAACTCAGATTGGCATGACAGTCTTTGAGTAGTCATACACAGAAGCTGTATGACATTATCTCACGTCTACTTAAATAGACGTGAGATAAACACGTAAACGTACATACATTTTATAAAGATATACATACAGAATATAAGATCACCTGCCTTTTCCAAGAGTCTGTTTTGTGACTCATGTCTGTTGCAACATACAGGTGTAGCAAAAATAATCTCCCATTTTCTCGATTTCTCAAGCACGTCTTGTGCTTCTCATTCTAGATCTTATTTGAATTGTCCCCAAAAGACCTATCAAATAAAATTAATATTTGTATTAATCACTATCTTATCAAATGCTAATCGAAAATACAATAATATCCACAGAGATATTTATTCAGACATCGTTCAAAAAGCAAACTGAAAGTGGGTCATTAAAAAAAAAAATATTGGAAAGAAACTCAGAAGGAAGATCACAAGTGTTCGATACACTTGAGACTTCATGAGGTTTCATTTACGAGACAAGTGTAAAGATGTAAGATGAAGGGGGGGGGGGGTCATTTTTCATAGGGAGGTAGGGGGTTGATTTTACATGGGGGTGGGGTGGGGTAGGGGTATGATTTTTCATGGGGGTGATTATTCATGGGAAACGGGGGTCGATTTTTTATAGCGAGTGGGGGTTCATATTTCATGGTCAATTCACCAGGCACGTGTAAAGATGTTGACATATGCACGATAGGCCCGATG